CCGTGGGCACCTCGGTGGGCGCCGATCAATGGAGAGGAAGCATGTTGATAAACATTTTCCAGATGTCTCAAACCTGTTTTGAACCTGTCTTAACTTGTAAGTACATGTTAAACAGTATGCTGAGAACATTTTTTGTTTTTTTCCAAACATTTCCGCGCATGTTTAATTCTCCAAATAGGCTTGCCCTATAGGGAACCCAGCTCATCATAAGTAATTGGTCTTCAGCACCCCCCTTTTTCCAATGGCCTCCCCTTCTTCCAATGGCCCCCCTTTTTTCCAATGCCACTAGCTTGCTTGCTCTTGCGTGCCTGCTCTCGCTCGCTTGCTCTTGCTTGCCCCTGTTTGCTTGCACTTGATTGCTGGCTCTTGTTTGCTTGTTATTGCTCGCTTGCGCTTGCTTGCTTCCGCTTGCTTGCTTGCGCTTGCTTGATTTTGCTTCTCCCATCCTCCTCCTGTCCTGCTCCCGTCCTCCTTTCGTCCTCCTCCCATTCTCCTCTCGTCCTCCTCCTGTTCTCCTATCTATTTGGAGTCAACGCTGGCTGATATTCGATGATCGGACTGTTAGGGTGTCCGTCATGGCATCCACAACCACAAGGGGCGTTCCAAAAAGAGGAACTTGCCTTCGAGGACAGAAGGAGCTGTCACCTCTTCCTCGGCGGAAGGCGGCGGAAGGGCGGTGGAAGTAAATCGAGGCTGCCTTCGCCGGTTCAAGCGGGCGGAAGCCGGCGGAAGCTCGGCGAGAGGCGGCGGAAGTATAATATGTGCGTACTCCCAAGAGATGACAAGATTCTTGGATTCAGGACTTCCGAAATCGCCCACATAGCTTACACCACACCTATTGCACCACCTGGAATGCCCCACATAGCCTGCACCACGCACGTTGCGGCGCGTAGGTTGCACCGCAGCTGCCGGGCTACAACAACTGCGCCGCATGTTTTGCACCACATGCCGATACCAGGCCGCTACAATACGGAACGTTTTCCAATTCGAAATCACCATGTCGTTTGGTTGTTGTTGTTGATGATGTTGTTGTTGATGTTGTTGTTGTTGTTGTTGTTGTTGTTGTTGAGTTTCATTTCTGAAGAAAAATTATGGTTGATCCCCCCCACCGGTGCATACTCTTTTTTCTAAATCAAAGTGTGCCCCTCGACGCTCGCACCCTGTTTCTTGACAGGGAAAGTCTTGATGCTCAAACTGTGCCCCTGGCCCCCAGGTTGCAACATCAACGCCTCCCGCCTGAGACTTCCGGACAATTTAGCCAGGACCCCCGCTCCCGCCCGAGACTTCCTCGCATTTTATTCAGGAATGGCGCTCTCGCTTGGGACTTCCTGGCAATTTATTTAGGAATCGCTCTCCCGGCGCTCTGGAGTCGCGCTCTCGCTGGAGACTTGCTTGCAATTTACTGAGGAATAGTGCCCTTGCGTTGGGATTTCATTCAATTTGCTCAAGCGCCGCGCTCCCGACACCCAGGCACCCAGGAGTCGCGCCCGTTCTGACCTCATGTGCATGCCCTTCGTGGCCCCGCTGTCGCCGTTTGTGGCCCCCTCACTGTCCTACGTGGCCCAGTTGCTACCCTCAGTGGCCCCATCGTTGCCTTCTGTGGCCCCGCATTATCTGCCCTTCGTGGCCCCCGCTCGTTCGCGCTCTTCGTGGCCCCATACGCATTCCTTTCGTGTCCCCGCTGTCGCCCTTCGTGGCCTATTTCGTGTCCTTCGTGGCCCTGCTGTCGTTCTCTCTCGCTCTCGCTTTCGCTCGTCGTCGCCGTCGTCGTCGTCGTCGCCGTTGTCGTCGACGTCGTCGTCGTCGTGGTCGGTCCCCTGTCCGTCCCTTTTGGGGTCGGGTCGACGGTCCGTGGCCGCCCCGCCGATCAGCGCTGCCGCTGGCCAAGCCGACGGTCCGCGGCCGCCCCGCCGCTTGCCGGGGCCGGGCCTGCAGGGAAGAAAGGTATACCCCCCAAAAGGGGTTCGATCGAAGACGAAGAGGGCGGGTATCGATGGTTTGGGAAATACGCGTTATTGGACACTCGAGCAGATAAGGGCGAACAGTCTCAAAATGATTGTTGTTGTTGTTGTTGTTGGTGTTGTTGTTGTTGCTGCTGTTGTTGTTGTTGTTGTTGTTGTTATTATTCTTAGAATACGTTGGAGGTCTTCGCCCCAGACCTGCTTCTGTTGGCCCAGGGGCCCGATACAACGGGCCCCAGGGGCCGAGATCAAGGAACGACGCCCAGATTCGGGCAGCGCCTGTGAGGTTCACGGGGGGTCGCCACCTCCTCTTGGAAATCGAGGATCGAGGGTGAGGGAGGATCGTGGGACGAGGCGACTGTTTGCACGTCATGTCTGCATCTTGTTCAAAAAGGCCTGGGGGGGCCCACGGGGGGTCGCCACCTCCGCCTGGAAATCGAGGATCGAGGGCGAGGGATGATCGTGGATCGAGGCGTTTTTTCTGCGTCATGTCTGCTTTTTGTTCAAAGTCCTGGGGGGCTCACGGGGGGTCGCCACCTCCGCCTGGAAATCGAGGATCGAGGGCGAGGGTGGACATCGTGGGTCGAGGCGGTTTTGCACGTCATGCTCAGGGGGGATCCAGGAGGTCCCGTTTCCTGGAGCTGGCGGCCCCCTCAGTGAAGCTGGTGGCCCCCTGAATAATAATCACAATTGTAATAATACTGGTGATAATAATGGTAATACTAATAGCAAACATAGTTGTATTATTATTATTAGTATTAGTATTATTAGTTTTATTATTATTATTATCATTCGTATTATCATGGTTATCATCATCATTATTGGTTTTCTTCTTCTTCTTCTTCTTCTTCTTATTAATACTTTTTTAAAAAAAAATATTATCATTATTAGTATCATTATACGACTATTAACACGAATACACATACTATTACTATTACTAATACGAGGACGAGGGTGAAAGAAACCGCGCGCTGTTCGCGCATTGACGTACATATATACATATAGATATGTATAGAGATACAGAAGATGCAGATCACATGCGTGCTGGCATGCAGGAAAGCCCATGGCTGCACAGTGTCTGGAGGCACCGTCGTTGCAGCCTCTGTTCCCAGGGAGGTGCCAGGCGAAGCTGCGCAACTGATCGGACCGCCCGGGGCACTGAACACACCCTGTCGTCGGAGTTCTGGGCCCCTACCCTGCGCCACCCGCGCCGCATGGGGCGCGGGGCCGCCCGCTGCAGCGGCTTGGCGCCGGGGCGGCGATGGGCGAGGCACCGACATGATCATGCGGGCGGGTGGTGATGGGGGGTGACTTACATGGGGGGTCAAGATAAGGAGGAGGAGGAAAAGGAGGAGGAGGAGGAGGCAGAGGCATAGGCAGAGGAGGAGGAAGAGGAACAGGAGGAAGAGGAGGAGGAGGAGGAGGGGGAGGAGGAGCAGGAGCAGGAGGAGCAGGAGGAGCACGAGGAGCAGGAGCAGGAGGAGGAGGAGGAGGAGGAGGAGGAGGAGGAGGAGCCGAAAGGTGCCCTTTAGGGCCCCTTTTGGAGCAAGCAGGTGCCCCAAGAGAGGCCCACCCCCTATTCAGGTCACTGCCCAGTACCACCCGCCCGAGTATCAGGAGGGGAAACCACACAGACATAATTAAGTGTCGAGTCACAAGAAAATATGCGAAAATATTGTAAGTGGGGGGGAAGACGAACATCCAAACAAGATGGAAATATTTGGGGGATCCTGGGATTCGTGTGTGTATATATGTATATATATATATGTGTCCATATATATACACAAATATATGTATATCTAAATATATATACATATATATATATATGTATATATGTGTGGGTGTGTGTCCCTGGGCCTCTTCAGAATAATGATAGGTTCCAAGATCCCCTGCTGTCCCGCACGTCCTCTCGCTGCGGGAAAATCGCGACGCGAAGCTTTTGATGATGATTCGCGGCCTCGGGGGCCTTCACAGGGCTCCCAGGCCTGGCAAGACCGATTCGGGTTGAGAAGCCGGTTCCGTGGAAGGGGTCCAGAACTCTACGCGTCGACGCTGCAGTCGGACCGAGGTATAGGATCGAGATCGGTTCGAGGAGGGTGCCCTAGTGTTCTTTGTGTGTGTTGGGTGTTCTTGTGCGTCCTTGGCAGGGTACCCTTGGGTGTTCTGTGTGTTTTGGCTGGCCGAGGGTCTCGTGTTCTTGAGGGATGTTCTTCCGTCCTAGGTCCAACTGCACCAACGAAAGCACGACGTCGAAGATCTGGGAACGAGTTGAGGGGCACGAGAAGAATACGCTCCAGGATCTCGAGGTGCTCCTGCTGCCCTGCCCGGGCTCCGGAGACGAGGGCCCGTATGCCACAGAACACCCTGGGGCGCCTCTCGAGCAAGCCCCGGCCATCCGACGGCGTGCCCTGCTCGATCCGCGGCCCCGTGTTTGTTTGTTTTGACCCTGTTGGCCCGACACCGGGCCCTTTGGGTGGCCGACATCCAGGAGCATCTTCGGAGTTGAAGCAGGGTGCTCGGGTAAGCAAACGCACCGGAACGGCAAGCACGCTTCGAGGAACACCTGGGCGTGTTCTCGAGCCCTGTGGGCCATTAGGCGCGTTGTGTCCCCCCCCCCCGTCCCCCCCAATAACGTAACGCTCCTCCCCCTCCCTCCCCGTAGTGCGCCTTCAGCACTGCCACTGTGATGCTCGCAGGCTGCTGTGGTGCTTGCAGGCTACTTTGACGTTCGTCGTCGTGTCTGGGGGCTTCGGAGGACCTGTTCCAGAGGCCTGAGGAGATCTTCTGAGGCCTCGGGGAACTTCTGTAGAGCTTCAGAGGCGGCCGTCGTGGTCGCTGTCGTCGGCGTCGTCGTCGACGTCGTCGTCGTCAATGTCGTCGTCGTCGTCGTCGTCGTCGTCGTCGTCGTCGTCGCCGTCGTCGTCTTCGTCCTCGCCGTCGTTGTTGTTGTTGTTGTTGTTGTTGCTGTTGTTGTTGTTGTTGTTGTTGCTGCTGTTGCTGTCATTGTAGTTGTTGTTGTTGTTGTTCGTGTTGTTGCTGTTGTTGCTGTCGTTGTTGTTGTTGTTGTTGTTATTGTTGTTGTTGTTGTCGTTGTTGTTGTTGTCGTCGTCGTCGTTGTTGTTGTTGTTGTTGTTGTTGTTGTTGTTGTTGTTGTTGTTGTTGTTGTTATCGTCGTCACCGTCGTCGTCATCATCGTCGTGGGCGTTGCTTTGGCAGTCGTCATCGTCGTCCCCGTCCCCGTCCTCGTTCTCGTCCTCGTCTTTGTCGTCGTCGTCGTCGTTATCGTCGTCGTCGTCCGGCGCTCGGGAGCCCTCGTCGTCCAGCAAACACCAGCACAGAACAATGCTCGAAGGATGGCGTGGAGGAAAAACGCTGGTGCTGCAGATCTGCGCTGCGCATTGCATAGGCGATGGTGTGCACGCTGCTGCGGCGGTGCGTAGTGCGTTGCGCACTGTGGTGCTTGCCGTGATGCGCAGAGGCGCTGTGGTGCTGGAACCACACGGCGTAGGGGGGTCGTTACGTTATGCCGCTTCCCGCCCCCCCCAGAACACCCGCTATGGCAGCGAATCAAATATGCGCTCATTTCGGGTAATACACAAATATCTGACCTCTGGTGGCCGTTCGGGACAATTCTGGCACCCTTGGAGCGCTCTCGGAGACGCGCGGCTTCTTGAGAGCACTCCCCCCCGACGAGAAAGCCTTCAGGAATCAGCGGGAGCTTCCGACATCGAGGAGACACGCTTGAGGATCCTCAGGACGTGTGCTGGCCCAACGTGTGTCCATCCCGTGCAGCTCCACCGACAGATCACTGCACCGCCCGCGCCGCGCTGAAAGGACTCGAGGGGCGAGCACACGTTGGCGATAACACGCGCTTTGAGGATCATCGACGCGCTCGGATTGAAACATCGGGCCGGGGGCATCTGGGTCAGGAGCGAAAGAAGGACGTACACGTACATGAATCCACGCAGTTTTCGAGATTTCGCATTAGGCGAATATTCGTATCACGCGGCCGGTCTCGCGGGTCAAGGGGCCGTGTTCATGTACATAGCTGGGCGCGTACGTCCTTTGTGCGCTCCCTACTGGGGTCGCCTCCTGGCATCGCTCGGCGGCGCGCCGAGGGGGGAAGCGCGAGGGGGCAGGCCTTCTCGGAAGGTGGCTTGGCTTCGGAGAAGGCTCAGGGAGCTGCGCGGAAGGCCCGAGGCCTTCGAGAGGGCCCGCCCCCGCTGCCTTCCCCCCTGGGCGCGCGGCCGGATCACTTTCGCCCTGGGCTCCTCCTCCTCCTCCTCCTCCTCCTCCCTCCTCCTCCTCCTCCTCCCTCCTCCTCCTCCTCCCCCTCCTCCTCCTCCTCCTCCTCCTCCCTCCTCCTCCCTCCTCCTCCTCCTCCTCCTCCTCTCCTCCTCCTCCTCCTCCCCTCCTCCTCCTCCTCCTCCTCCCTCTCCTTCTCCTCCTCCTCCCTGCTCTCTTCTCCTGCTCCTCCTCCTCCCCCTCCTCCTCCTCCTCCTCCTCCTCCTCGTCCTCCTCCTGCTCCCCCTCATTTTTGGAACAACTCTTATTGACGGATATCTAGGCATCCCGAGCCAGTCGCATCATAACCGGTATCGCCCAGACATTGTAACAACATGTGTTCGTCGGTCCCGCGGTGACGGTGCGCACAGAGAAGCGTCTTGCAGCATAATGTTCGTGGCGCGCGCTTTCTGGTCATACTGCTGGGATAGCAAGATGCCACACCGTGTTCTGGTCGGACGTGCGACTCCAAGGGAGCCACACCGGTGCAGCAGGCGCAGCACATGAGCACCCAGCACGCCAGCAGGTGCCGCGCATACCTTCTCCGCTCATGGCCCAGGGGGCCCGCAGAAGCCCCCGGGGCACCCGAGGAAACCCGGAGCTCGTCGGCAGAGAGGGTCTTCGTGCCGAGCGCAGCCAACGCCTCGGTGATCGGACGCTGGTGCCACTCCGTTGGCCACGCTGCCTGGTGCCTCTTCTTCCCTTCGCGGTGCGAGTCCTGCTCGGGCACGCGCGTCCTGCTCGCGCGGGCGGGATGGCCCTCCCGAGGGGCAGCGGACTTCTTGTTTTGGACCAGGGAGCTTTTCACGCATTCGCACTCCCTTGCTGCGCCCCACGCGAGGGTCCATTTCGATCCGATCGATCTGACTCGACATCGAAGTCGGCCATCCCGATCCGATTCGGTTTGGATTCTCCAGCGATCCGATGCAGCCCGATGCTTGCCTGGCGCTGTCGTGCAGCCCTGGCTCAGCCAGCTCGCATCGATTTCGGCCCCGTGCCGGTGCAGCCCGATCCGACGCACACTTCCATCCGATCCCCTGACACCTGGCGCTCAGATTTTTTTCGAGGCGTGGAGCCCTTGAGGTCCGGACAACTTCCCCGGAGCCGGTTCTTCCTCCCGAGTCGTTCTTTCGCGGCCCCGGGGCTCGTTGGGGGCTCGTTGAGGGCACCCGTGGGCAGAACATTATAACAAATGGCCGCTCCAACTTTCGGGGGGCCCTGGATCTCTGGAGATCCATGTTCATCGTTCATTTCTGATTTTTCGAAAGTTCTTTTGTATTTTTCGGAGCCAAGACCCTTTCATTTCCGATTGTTCTATCCTGGGCCTCTCTCTTCCTGGCCACTAGGGGGGGCAGGAACAGTTAGAGACGAGCGCGATTGGAAATGAACACGATGAGACATGAACGACGTGCATGTCGATGCGACACGAGTGCCCGATCCGATGCTGACTGGTCCTGCTCTCGCCCCGCCAGGCCCACGGCCCCTTGTGTCACGGCCCCGGCGGCGCCTGCCCGGCGGCCCCGCCCCCACGCGACCCATCCGCGACCCCACCCGCGACGCCCTCCCTGAACCCACCCGGGTCCGCGACCCACCCTCCCAGGACCCCCTCGCGCTGGGACAAAGATCACGTTTGGAAGCTCTTCGCTGCTTTCGGCCTCTGGGGGCCCTTACCCGGGCCTTGGGACCGTCAAAAGACGACTCAGGATGAAAAGTCGGTCCCGGGGAAGGGGTCCAGACCTCTGGGGGTCGACGCTGTGAAAAAATCGCGACGTCGGGGCTCCTGTGTGCCGCGGCGGCGCTGCAGGAGCGGAGGGGGGGGGAGGGCGGGGCGAGCACGGTGAGGACGTTGTCGGCGGCGCGCGCCAGCGGGGCATTGGGGGAGGGTCCCCCCCTCCTCTTCCTCCTGCTCACCTCCTTCTCCCTCCTCCTCCTCCTCCTCCTCCTCCTCTCCTCGCCCACGCCCTTGATCCGCGCCCCACGCACTATCGCTATACAGACGTGCGATGCCCCGTGTTTTGTCAAGGCGGGGCCCCCGGACGTCCCGATCCCTTCTCCAGGGCCGGTTTCCATCCCGAGCCGTTTTCTGAAGGCCCCCAGGGCCTGGCGAGGGCCCCGGGAGAGACCGAACACTGCCAGAGACCTCCCGCCGTCATTTTTTTTCACGACGCGAGCAGATCTGTGACTCCCACGGTTCTCCAGAAGTAACAAGCCCGGAGTAGGTCCTCATCTTCCTCCTCCTCCTCCTCCTCCTCTCCTCCTGCTTCTCCTCCTCCCCCCTCCCCCCTCCTCCCCCTCCCCCTCCCTCCTCCGCCTCCTCCTCCTCCTCCTTCTCCTCCTCCTCCCCCTCCTCCTCCTTCTCCTCCTCCTCCTCCTCCTCCTCCTCCTCCGCCCCCAAGGCCTACGACCCCTTCGGCGACGGCCCCAGCGGCGCCTGCCCAGCGCCCCCGCGGGCGCCTGAGCCCCCGCTCAAGCGCCCGCGGCGGGAGGCCGGGCCGTCGCCAGACAGGGAGGCGCTCGGGGGGCCAGGGTAGGCTTCGGTACGATCGAAATCGGGACGAGAAAGGAAGGAGAGGGAGACAGAACATGATAGCTACATCAGAGAAAGGCCCCATTCAGTAGATGGTTTGATCGATATGGAGATCGAGCGGGAACCTGGGAGCCCGGAATCCACCGAAATCGGCCCGGAACCAATAACCAGGAACCCGGGAATCCGGAACCGGGAACCCGGGAACCCAGCCAGCTACCAAAATCGGTGGGAAATTTCCGCCAAATCTTCCAATTTCCGCTAGGACCCCTTCAGTGAAAGCCTGATTGGGGAATCATACTAATAGTCAGCCTGGCGGAGGACCCAACATGCAGTTGGGTCTCGCAAGTGTGAGTATTGTCATCGGTGGAGCTCCTATGGGGCCCCGAACTGTGTGAGGGGTGCGCCGAAATAGGTGTGGCAGGCGCATGCGAGCGTAGCGCCACTGGAGCCTTCGGTGGAGCTCCCATGGGGCCACGAAGCGTGTGAGGGGTGTGCCGAAATGGGTGCGGCGGGAGCATGCGGGCGCTGCCACAGCGGCCTTCGGCGGAGCTCCCCATGGGGCCACGAAGCGTGTGATGGGTGCACCGAAATTGAGGATGGAACCGCATGCGGGCGCTGCCACTGAGGCCATCAGTGGAGCTCCCTAAGCAGCCACGGCACGTGTGGGTCGCGTGCCGAAATGGACACTCGGGGCTCAGAGGCAGGGATGGGGAGCAAGGTGGGAGGAGAAAAAAGAGGAAGCGGATGAGAAGGAGGAGGGGGAGGAGGAAGGAATAAGGAGGAATGAATGAAGGAAGGAAGGAAGGAAGGAAGGAATGAAGGAAGGAAGGAAGGAATGTGGGGCGCTGTCTCTTCAAACCGAGGACCCCATACCACAGGATGGTCGGGAACATAATAAGCAGGCGGAGGCGACGAACCAACATACTATAACTACCGAGGCCAGTCATACTACTAACACCAATCGTAATTAAGAAACCCAATATTAAGAACGCGAGTGTTCGTGCTAAACTTGATGGCGCTAGTAACCATCATGGTGCAGCCGGTGCTGCATGCTGTGAGAGGGCCCTCGTCGTCGTCGTCGAGGAGCCTCGGCCAGCGTGGAGGTTTGGCCGAGGCTTCCAAGCTGGGGCCTGAGCGTCCACCGGACGTGAGCCCCCCGGGGTTCATTCAGGAAGCCTGTCCTGGCTCGCCGGGCTGATCTCCGCGGCGAACGCGTCGCCGACGCCAGCGTGCGCAGAGTGAGGCGAGGGTCCGCTTCGCCTGGCGAAGCGCAGGCACCACCCCTGCGAGCGAGGACGGCGCGGCGGCGGTAGGGTACACTTGAGACAGAGCTCACGGCAGCATAACAACAGGGATGATGGCCAATGTCGGAGATGATGGTGAGAGTGTCGACGACGGGCCCTCGTCGGCGCCCAAAAGGCTTCGCGACAACGCGATGCAGGGGATCGGGGCTTCGAGGGACTTCCTGCGCAATGTCGCGGGATTCTGTTTTTACGCCTGACACCCCACTTTAACTACATGGTGTTATTCAGCTTCCTGCGAGAAGCCCCGCCTCCGTGCCTGTGCAACAGCGCAGCAGGAAGGAGGCTGAGTGTAGTAACGGCGCAATTCCGACGAGTAGTCTGCATTTGGGCGGGTCGTGATCCCGAGCTCGTCTTCGTCCGCGCGGTGGGGCGGATGAGGAAGAGGAGGACAAGGAGAAAATGAGGATGAGGAGGGGCAGTCTCTTGGGGCCTTTCTCGGGCGGCATAGGGGTCCTCCTGGGAGGTTCCTGACAGCTTCTTGGGGGCCTCTTGCCTCATGGGACCTCTTGGGCGCCTATTGGCGCCCCTTGGGCAGTTTCGTGAGCTTCTTGGCCCGCCCGACGCTTACGGAGGCCGCCCTGGGGGGCCTCGCTCCGCCGCCGCCTGCGTCCTGCCTCAGGGCTTTGGTGGACAAAAATCAGGAGGGAGAAAAACACACAGACACAATTATTTGTCGATTTCCAGGGAAATATGGGGAAATATGGGAAGTGGGGGGGAAGACAAAAACCCAGAAAATATGCGAAAATATGGGGAATCTTTTTATTTGTGTGTATTTATTTGTGTGTCCCAGTTTCCCTTCAAAAAACGTTTGCGTTGACGCACGTTGTGAGGATCATCGAATTTCCCCGGGAACGATTTCCATCCCGAGTCATCTCTTGACTGCCCCGAGGCCTGGCAAGGGCCCATGGGGCAGTCAAGAGCGATCTGGGCTGCAGTCCTCCTCCCTTTCCTTCTCCTCATCCCTCCTCCTCCTCCTCCTCCTCCTCCTCCTCCTCCTCCTCCTCCTCCTCCTCCTCCTCCTCCTCCTCCTCCTCCCCCTCCCAGGCGCGTCGAATAAAGCACCGGCCTGCCAGAAGGTGCCCCCAGGGAAGCTTCTCATCCCCCCGGTGGCCCCTGGTGGCCCACAGGCGGCCCTGGGGCACCGGAGGCACATGTTGGCTCGACGACGAACGCGCCCCTGGATTTCCGAAAGCAAGTGAAGGGCAAGCCGCGACCTCCTCCTCCTCCTCCTCCTCCTCATCCTCCTCCTCCTCCTCCTCCTCCTCCTCCTCCTCCTCCCTCCCAAGGTTGAACTTTCTACGTGGCATGAGGATCGAGTAGCGAAGGTCGAGATCTGAGGATCGAGCGGACCAAATCCCGAGGGGACGAAGCCGTTCCGCCCTCTGGTTCCCCGTCGCCGGCTTCGAAGACCCTGGCCTGCAGCTACAGGTGCTCCAGCCAACTCCCACTCCCCCCTTCTTGGTGGCGCGCACAGGGGGGCAGGGGGAGGGGAGGACGATCAATGGAGAGGAAGCATGTTGCCAAATAAGTTCTAGATGTCTAAAACATGTGTCACACTTTTTTTTATATATATATATATATAAAACATGTTGAAAACGTGCTCAAATCATGTTCATGACACTTTTTTCCGACATTTTAATCATACTTTACATTCAATGATAGGACTGTTAGGGTGTCCATTGTCGTGGCATCCACAAGGGTAGGGGGAGCGGAGAAGGCTTCTGAGAACGTGGCCGCTTCTCACAAGGCGCCGACGTCCTCGCCCCGCGAGCCCGCGAGCAAGAGCACCACCGGGCCTCCACAGGCCCACGTCCGGGCCAGAGCCTGGTGTGCGGGGCCCGCCTGCCGGGCCCGGGGGTCGGTGCAGCGCGAGATTCGCAGATCTCCGACGCTATGGTTGTCTGAGAAGACCGGGGAAAGGCCATAGCCGATTCACGAGACAGTGCACATGCATACAGGGGGAGGGGCAGGGGAGGCAAGAAGGAAACGGCAAGCACAGATGTGGAATTCAATGGAACATGGATAGACAAGAACGGTGCGACCCCTCAGCGCCACGTGAACTCCACGTACTCGCTCTCCCTTTTCGACCATGCTTCTGTGTCTTGGGCTGCAGACACCCAGGACTCCCAGCGCATCTCTTTAGCAAATGACACCAAGTCGTCCTCCCATCTGGAAAAGCGTCCCAGGCGCGCGAGCGGGTCGGACAAGTAATAGTTCCTCTGAGCTGTTCCTTCCACCATGCATTGTCTCTTCACACTGTGGTCCTTCGGGCCCACCGGTCCGTAGTCATGTTTGCAACTTTGCCTGCCCAGCGCCACTTTGCTTGTAGATAGACCGTTTCCCAACATTCGCAGTTCGCTTGCTTTGCTCTGGTTTCTGCGATTTGCGTGGCTCGCTTGATCCAGCTGACGTATTCTTCATCTTGTCCTCGTTTCGGGCCCACCATTCGGCGTAACATTGTTCTTTGGGAGCTTCGCAAACGCTTCTTTGGAGCCACTGTGAGTTTCCACGACTCCGCGCTCCACAAGACAGTCTTGGCCACGGTCGCTTGGAAAAGGCGAAGCCGTTTGAGGTACGATGTGTCCTGCTTCATCACAACATCGCTGAGACTTGAGAATTTGGTCCACCCTGCTCTGAGTGTGTGCCCGAGCTCCCCGTTTGTGCTCCCGTTCATGGTGATCGTTGTGCCAAGGACTCTGAAGCCCTCGTTGCACCCGCATGATGGATATCTGTCGCCCGCCAGCGCGCCTCGCAGCGCGCCCTTCGCCCCGCCATGGGCCGCCTCCGGGCGATGACGGTTCGCTGTTCTGTTCGCCTCCTCCTCCTCCTCCTCCTCCTCCTCCTCCTCCTCCATCCTCCTCCTCCTCCTCCTCCTCCTCCTCCTCCTCCTCCTCCTCCTCCTCCTCCTCCTCCTCCTCCTCCTCCTCCTCCTCCTCCTCCTCCTCCTCCTCTTCCTCCTCTCGCCGCCCCGGGGGCCCGCTCTCGGGCCCCAGGGCCCGCAGAGTCGAATCCCGAGGCCCAGGACGGAGCACATTGCCCCCCCTGGGCAAGGGGCCAGAACCTCCCCGACATTCCGACCGTTTTTTTTCGAGCCGTCTCTTTTTCCCAACCCTTTTTTGCGGTGTGGGGTCCTCGTCTTGAAGAGACGGTGCCCCGCGTTTCCGCCTTCCTCCTCCCTCCTCCTCCCTCCTCCCCTCCTCTCCTTTCGGCACACCCCTCGCACGTTTCGTGGCCCCACAGGAGCTCCGCCGACGGTCCCAGTGGCACAGTTCGCATGCGTACCCGCCACTCATGTCGGCACACCCCTCACACGTTTCGTGGCCCCATAGGAGCTCCGGTCCCAGTGACGCAGTTCGCCTGCGTCCCCGCCACTCATTTCGGCACACCCCTCACACGTTTCGTGGCCCCATAGGAGCCCCGCCGAAGATCCCAGTGGCACAGTCCGCATGCGCCCCTGCCACTCATGTCGGCACACCCCTCACACGTTTCGTGGCCCCACAGGAGCTCCGCCGAAGGTCCCAGTGGCACAGTCCGCATGCGTCTCCGCCATTCATTTCGGCACACCCCTCACCCGTTTCGTGGCCCCGTAGGAACTCCGCCGAAGGTCCCAGTGGCACAGTTCGCATGCGTCCCCGCCACTCGTTTCGGCACACCATTCACACGTTTCGTGGCCCCATAG